AAAATCTACTTCTATTATCTCTATACGTAGTGATCATAGAGGTAAATTTGAAAATGAATTATTTACAAATTTTTGTGATAAACATGGTATATCACATACTTTTTCTTTTCCTCGTGCTGCTCCACAAAATGGAGTTGTAGAAAGAAAAAATAGAACTTTACAAGAATGTGCTAGAACCATGTTGTGTGATAGTAATTTACCTAAATATTTTTGGGCAGAAGCTATATCAACAGCTTGTTATGTATTACATAGAGTTTTATTAAGACCTATTTTAAAGAAAACTTCTTATGAATTATTTTATAACAAAATTCCTAAAGTATCTTACTTTAAAGTTTTTGGTTGTAAATGTTTTATCTTAAACACAAAGGATAACTTAGATAAATTTGATTCTAAATCCGATGAAGGAATTTTTGTTGGATATTCTAATCATAGTAAAGCATATAGAATATATAACAAAAGAACATTAGTTATTGAAGAATCTTTACATGTTTCTTTTGATGAAAATTTTTCAAAAACACCTATTATATTAAATAATGATGATGATGTAATTGATACTATACATGATACTCCTATGATAGATATTACAAAAGATGATAATCTACAAAATGACTTACCTAAAGATTTTGTAGATGTTAAAAATCATCCACATGATTTAATTATTAGAAATATTTCTGATAAAGTAACTACTAGATCTCATTTTAATTTGATTGCTCATAATGCTTTTATTTCAACTATTGAACCTAAAAATATAAAAGAAGCACTTCTTGATGATTCATGGATAATTGCTATGCAAGATGAACTTAATCAATTTACTAGAAATAATGTTTGGGATCTTATATCTAGACCTCAAAATAAATCCATTATTGGAACAAAATGGATTTTTAGAAACAAATTAGATGAATTTGGTCAAGTTGTTAGAATCAAAGCTTATGGGTATGTAAGTCTCTGTAATTTTTCTGAACAAATAACCTATTTATAGCCCTTGAAAAGAAAATTTTTTTGAACTTTAAAAACGTTTAAAAACGGCTATAAACTGTCAGATATTCAAACTTTGAAAACTGGAAAAACTGTATCTGTAGTCTACTACTGTTGACATTAGTCGACTACACTGAGTTCAAACAGACTCTGTGTTTTCGAAAAATTTTCTCAGTAGTCGACTACATAGCCCATTAGTCGACTACACTGTATTTTGACAGAAACTGATAAAATGAAATTTGAGTTCAGTAGTCGACTACTGTTGACATTAGTCGACTACACTGTAAAATAATAGAAACTTATGTTTCTGTCAAACACCTGAGTAGTCGACTATAATCTATTGTAGTCGACTATACTGTAAATTGACAAAAACATGTATTTGAGTTTTATACATGAGTAGTCGACTACTATTCTAATTAGTCGACTACTAAGAGTAAAAATTCTGCTATAAAGAGTTTTTATAATCAAGTTTTAACTATAATTCTAATGGTTAACATAGGGGATTTCTATAGTTAACCAACACACTAAGCCTGTGTTAGTGTGTTCTAAAATTGTGTGTGTGCGTGTGTGTGATCAAGGCTTGTACAATTATTCTAAGTAAAGAAAATATAAACTATATTATCTCTTTTGTTCTTCATTTTCTTTACTTCAAAATGCCTTGAAATCAACTTGCACTTGTACATATTCTGATATTGAAATCTGCATATAAAAGTTAGTGCACACACTGTATAAATTGTTATCATCAAAACACTATCATGGAGATATGATATTCAACATGCTGCTTATTGGAGTTTATTGGTTTTTGTGCTTATGATGATGTTTATGTCTTTGTGAAACAATATTAGACACTTACGCTTTTATTCTATGTTTTATTTTGAGTTGTAATAACTCTATGTTTGTGTGGAAAACAATGTGTTTTTGTGAAACAATTTGTGTATGGTTTGTAGTTTTGTGGAACAAATTATGTTTGTGGAAACTATGTAGTAATTGGTGTTTAAGTGATGTTTTGTGATTCATTTGGTCCATATATTGTTTATGGTTGTATTTAGATGGATATGGTTGCTTAGCTCCTATGTATGAATATGATCTTCATATATCATCTATGCAAATTGACAGGGGGAGCTTTAGCTAAAATTTGTTTATTATCTGTGCTTATATACAGGGGGAGCATTGCTCCTATTTTTATTTTTTCCCTTTTTGATGTTGTCAAAGGGGGAGAAAATCTAGTATGTGGTTTTGGTTTATTCATGTATGGTTTATTCATGTTGTATACATGATTGGTTTATAAGTTGTTTATCAGTATATATTTCATATTCATGTATAAATTGTTTGCCATCATCAAAAAGGGAGAGATTGTTGACCCTATAGTTTTGATGATGATTTGTCAAACAATTTATCGCTAATATATTCTCTAGTTTTGTGTTTATGTTTCTCTTTACAGGTATTTCAACACACAACAATCAAGCGTTAAAGATTCAAGTTCATATGCGTGGAATTACCTAGGTATAAGTTTAGCTTACTTACATATATTGTATATTTAAATTTAAGCTCAATATATGTACACTTAACACGATTTTTGACGTTTTCTACCAAATAAATGATTTTTCATCAAACATCGTTATAATATCTTTTATCTCATGTTTACAACTCTTTCATACTCTATTATATATATACATAATACATGCATGAGATATATTTACGTATTTATGAGTCATATCAAATTTTTTATATTCGTAAAATATAGGTTTTACGAACACTTTTTAAAAACAGTGTGTTTTTTGCAAACAAAAATTATTTTTCCAAAAATTCCTTTTCTAACATGTTTATTTTATCATTTAGAAACTTTTCTCAAAGTTTAATTATTTTTGAAATTGATATGCTATTTTTAAAGATTTTTCAAAATTAGCCAAAAACAGGTTTCTCGGTCTGTATCAGATTGCGGTCGACCGCCACGGTCGACCGCCATGAACTTCTTTTTAAGTCTGGTCTTTTTATGCCCGCGGTCGACCGTGATCCTTCCAGAGAGTTTCGCGGTCGACCGCCGCGGTCGACCGCCAGCCTTAAAACCCTATTCTCAGGATTTTTATGCTTCGCAGTCGACCGCGCGAATTCCACGGTCGACCGCCGATTTAATCATTGGTTTTTAACGGTTATTTTCACAACGGCTCTCTGGGGGCTTTTTAGTCTTTTCAAGTTGGTTTTTGGCTGATATTTGAGAGGGTATAAATACCCCATTGCTGCTCTCTTTTATGAATCCAAGTTTTGTGTTTAACAATATATTAAGATTGTTTAAAAGAGCTGTTTAAGCTGATTTCATCAGTCTGTTTCAAAAAAAGTTTTTCTACAACAAGAAGTGGCTTTCAAATCCTATTGGGATCATCATCTACTGTTCTTCTTGTTTGAGAAGTTTTCTAAACTCTTATATAGCTTACTATTCCATTTTCATTTCATTAGCTATATTTATTAAGTTGTATTATTTTTCATTCACTGTTATCACACACACATATTGAGCTTAATATCTTCATATCATAAAGTGTGGGTTGTGAGGTGTGATTTAGTGAGTGTGAGCTTCATTTGCGTTCTTATTTGTTATTGAGAACAAATCATTGTATTTATCTTTTATTATGAGTATCACTTGTAATACACTTGTACACCGAGAGAAGTATGAGGCGAGAGACGGGGTTGAATCCAATAGGAGTGGCATCGGTTGACGAACCTAGGGAGAGGTTGCATCCGAGCACTTGAGGAGGAGGACACGGGCTATGTTCCTACACTTAGTGTGTAAAGTGTGATTGCATAGTGTTTGGTGTGTGAGAGTTTTCGGTGAACTTGTAAATGCTGGGCATCATTCAGAGTCCTACTGGCGTAGTAGATCATATGCGGTTTTTCATCAAACTGTTGTCCTAAAACAATACTAATCGCAGAATCGGATGCATCACACATCAGTTCGAATGGTAAGGTCCAGTCCGGTGCATGAATGATAGGAGCTGTGGTTAGCTCCTTTTTCAGATATTCAAAATCTTTGAGGCAGTCGGGAGAGAAGACAAATGATGTATCCTTAGCTACGAGATTGGTCAAGGGTCTAGCAATTTTACTGAAATCCTTAATGAAACGTCGGTAAAAACCATCATGACCAAGAAATGATCTGACATCTTTGGCTGTTTTGGGAGGAGTGAGATTGGAAATGAGATATACCTTAGCTTTGTCCACTTTAATTCCCCTATTAGAAACTATATGTCCTAAGACAATGCCTTGTTTGACCATGAAATGACATTTCTCCCAATTGAGAGTCAGATTTTTCTCCCTACACCATTCTAGGACCAGTTTAAGATGATGCAAACATTAGGAAAATGTGTCACCAAAGATGGAAAAGTCGTCCATAAAAATTTCGAGAAATCGCTCTACCATGTCGGAAAAAATACTGATCATGCAACGTTGGAATGTGGCCGGTGCGTTACACAGGCCAAAAGGCATGCGTCGGAATGCTAATGTTCCATACGGGCAAGTGAAGGTGGTTTTCTCCTGATCTTCTAGAGCGATAGGGATTTGATTGTAACCTGAATATCCATCCAGGAAACAATAGAACTCGTGTCCTGCTAAACGCTCTAACATTTGGTCAATGAAAGGAAGAGGGAAGTGATCTTTCCGAGTGGCTAAGTTAAGTTTTCTGTAGTCAATACAGACTCGCCATCCGGTTTGGATTCGAGTGGGAATCAGCTCATTAGCCTCATTTTGGATCACGGTGATCCCAGATTTCTTTGGAACAACTTGGACCAGACTCACCCATGAACTATCAGAAATGGGATAAATGATCTCATGATCGAGACATTTCAGAATGTCTTTCCTAACGGCTTCTTTCATCACTAGGTTTAACCTACGTCGAGGATCTCTAGTAGGTTTGGCGTCATCTATCAAATGGATTCGGTGTTGAACAATGGTTGGACTAATCCCTTTGATATCAGCCATGGTCCATCCAATGGCTTTCCTATTCTCTCTTAAAACATCTAAGAGAGCTTCCTTTTGACCGGTAGTCAAATCAGAAGAAATGATAACTGGTAAAGACTCGTTCTCCCCTAAGTAGGCATACTCTAGATTTTCGGGTAGAGGTTTGAGCTCTAACTTAGGGGGTTCCTCCACAGATGGGCGAAGCTGGACTCGGGGTTCTATCTCTAAAGGTTCTCGTTGCCAGCCAACAGCAAAAACATGATTGACCAGCGGTTCTATCTCTAGTTCGTCATCAGAAAGCTCCTCAATCATTAAATCAGATGCATTTGAATCAGACTCACACTCTCCCTCTTGTTGTTCACTGGATATTCCTTGAATAAAATTCACTTCCATGGGTTTATCAAATGGATCACTAGGCTGCCTTCCTAGGTTGAAGATATTGAGGTCAATAGTCATATTCCCAAAAGATAGTTTCATCTGACCGGTTCTACAATCTATCAAAGCATTTGATGTTGCTAAGAACGGTCTTCCTAGAATGACGGGGATTTGACTTTTGAGATTGGAAATGGGCTGCGTTTCCAAGACAATAAAATCAACAGGGAAAATGAACTCTCCAACTTTGATCAGAACATCCTCTACCTCTCCTTTGGGAATTTTTACAGATCTATCAGCTAACTGTAGAGTGCATCTTGTCGGTTTAAGTTCTCCTACACCTAGCTGTTGATAGACTGAATAAGGAAGGAGGTTGACGCTGGCTCCCAAGTCTAGAAGTGCTTTATCAATGTGAGTGTTACCTATGATGCATGGAATTGTGAGACAACCAGGGTCCTTATATTTTAACGGCATTGGTTTCGAAAAAATTTCACTGAGGTTGGCAGCTAAGAAGACTTTCTTGGGGACATTGGTGGTTCTTTTCTTAGTGCATAAGTCCTTCAAGAACTTTGCATAAGAGAGAATTTGTTCGATTGCATCTAGGAGCTGGATGGGATGAACTGGATCCATTGTCTTTAGGGTTTGCAACAGGTTGACTTAGGAATTTTCCTTTTTTTCTCTCACTCGCGGTAGTGGCTAGTTACCCAAGTTGGGTTTCTAACCGGACTATGGCTTGAGTGTTCGAGTTGAGCACTTGGCCGGTTGTTTGCATAAAGGAATTTAGAGTGGTGGATGACTAGGTCAACATGTTGGTAGTTTGTGTAGAAGCTTTGATCATAGCTTCTAAACCCTTTTCTAAGACACTTAAACGTTTGTCATGATCAGAATTTGAAGGATTTGTAGGCTGGTGAGGATGAGGATGTTGGGTTGGAAAAACTGGGTTAGCTTGTTAAAAATTATTTGGTGCGTTGAATGGGACAATGTTTCCTCTAGGGAATTGTTGGTTCGACGCGGGAATGAAGTTTTGGTTTCCATGAGAATTTTCGTGGTTTCAAGCAAAGTTGGGATGATTTCTCCAACCTGGATTGTAGGTTGGAGAAAATGGATCATTTCTAGGGCGCTGGAATGCAGCGTTCATTTGTTCTAAAGCATGGTTGTTTCCTAGGAGAGGGTATTCCTCTGAAATATTGGTAGAAGACTGACAGTTATGACATCCCGAGGCAGAAACATGATTAATTTGAGCTGGAGCTCGTTCCTTAACTTCTAAGGCTTCTAACCTCCGCAGAATCGTCGCCATCTTCACTTCAGACGCAATGTTTGACTCCAGAGAAAGACCACTAGACTTAGATTGGGAAACAGATAAAACCCTGTCATCACAGTTTTCCCACTACATTATTTTCTCGGATAGACTCTCTAGGAATTCCCAAGCTTCATCGGCATTTTTCCTCATAAAATCTCCCTGACACATAGATTCTAAAGATGTTTTTGAAGAATAGTCCAATCCTTCATATATGACTTGGCACAATCGTCATTTTTCTAGACCGTGATGAGGACATTGGATTAAAAGATCTTTAAATTGGTCATAATATTTCCAGAATGGCGCTCCTGAAACAATTTTAAAATTTTGAATGTTGTTCCTAAGCTTTACCGTTTTGTGAATAGGGAAAATTTTCTTAAGAAAAACGGTGACAAATTCCTCCCAAGTTGAGATAAAATTTATCGGTAAGCTGTACAGCCATTTTTTAGCTTTGTCCTTAAGGGCAAATAGAATAAATCTGAGCTTAATTGCATCTTCGGTTAATTCTCTCATTTTAATTATAATACACAGTTCCTTAAATTCCGAGATAAAAATATATGCATCTTCTGTTTCATTACCTAGGAATTTGGGAAGCATGTTTATATAATGCAGTCTAAGCTCGAAATTTGCTCCATTTACTTCGGGGAGTCTTATGCAAGATGGAATTGCATTTCTGGTGGGGTAACACATATCCTGAAGGACGGGTTGATTTGTCATTTCTTGAATTGGTTCAACACGGATTAAACGATGAGAATTATGCCGAACCCAAGTTTGCATACACCAAAACAATTTTTTTTAAGGAAAGAAAGAAAATTAGTTTTTTTTATATGAAAAGATAAAGAAAAAGAAAAATCCTAACTAAAACAAATCAAAGCAATCACTTTTTAATCAACTCTAATTCTAGGGTTTAGCCTAACTCAACTAGACCAGCTCCTAACCAAAAACTCCTACAGTGAAAAGATTAAAGTTTTACCCAGGTAGTTAGCTAGGTAAGGATAGTACTAGAGGATGATCAGAAATCAATTAAGTACATCGTTCCTTACGGAGCGCTTTACGCAACCCCTAAACCTTACCTTAGACACCAACTAATCTGAGAAAACTTAAACCGGTTCACTTAAGGATTTCTTGTTTCTTATTGAGTTCGAATCCTTAGGGGCCAACGTCTAATGAGTTTTAGAAGGCTTGGGTTTGTGAAGTGAGGAATTAGTGATTTGTGGGCTAAGGAAAGGGTGATGAAATCCCTCACCTTATCTTGATTATGGGGTTTTGCCCTTAAAAATATTTTTAAGTGTGCCAAATCAAGATGCTGAAATCACTTGGTGAATTCCTACACTATATGAAATGCAACCCTAGAAATTAAAAGCGACTAAAAAGGATGATAAAAAGAAAATCTTTACATTTTCAATAACAATCAAATGTGAGAAGAGAGCTCTTGTTTGAATTTATTATCTTGTTAGTTAATGTCCAAGTGAAAGGTAGATTTTATTATGGTCAACAAAAATAAAATCTTTTTGTTTTTTTTTAAATCCTAATTGTCTCTAATTGTGAAGCTAACTAAAAAGGTGGAATTGAAAACTAGAAAGAGGACTTACCCGAAGCAATTCTCTAAGTTCTTGATCTTCAATCCAAAACTTTCAAGCTCCAAGCGGTTCCTTCACAAGAAAACACATAAGTTAAAGAACCAAAATAATAAAATCTTATTTTAGCACCTTCCCCGGCAACTGCACCAAAAACTTAATGCGGCATAATTATGTACCAAAATTGCAAGTGCACAATTGATCAAGTTATAGTATAAAAAGTTATCGATCCCACGAGGAAGGTGATTTTAAGAGATTATTAGAATTGGTTCTTATATTTTGTTCGTGACAAAATAGGATTAAAGAATAAGTGTAATTGTGGAGAGAGATGTGATGAGTGGTTGTTTTGATTTATGTGCAAGTAACAAAAATCTGAATTTTAGAGAAAAGAAATAAGAATCAAAGAGTAAATGAAATCACAAGGCAAGAAAGAAGAATGGATAAAATCAAGAAATAAAATCAAGAATAAAAAGAAAATTCAAGAAAGTCAAGATGGAGGATTCAATTAAGATATGATAAATCTATGAATTAATCCACTAACTAATCTCAAATATAAAATACAAACTATTCTTTTTTTATCATATTTCAACTTAGATTTATTAAGAATAGACTATCAAACCATTTAAGGAAAGTATAACATATGAAATTATCATCTAAGTTAAAATTACTATTTATGATAAAAATAACAACAAGATAGTAATCCTAGAATTCATAAGCATAACCTATCAAACTATTTAAGATAAGCATAGATTATCAAATTCTTCTTCTACCGATTAGTTTTCTAGTTGAATATCCTAAACATGAATATTTTAAGTGCAAGAGAATAATTTGCATAATATAAAGGAAATTAGACTAGCATCATACAATTCTAAGATTCCTACAAGAATTAATTTCACATCTTAAGAAATAAAAACAAGAAGAAAAAGAACTAATTACAAAATTAAAAAGAAAAATAAAAATCTAAACTATGAACAAGAAATAAATCTAACTACAAAGAATTAAAATATAAACTAAAGAATATATTACAAAAATTAAATGCAAGAAAATAAATCTACTCTACAAATTAAAGTACAAAAAGAAATAAAAAGACAAGAAAATAAATCTACACTACAAGCATGAATGCAAATCTAACTAATAAGCAATAATAAAGAAATTACTAAAAAGAAATAAAAGAGAAAAATAAAAAAAATGCAAACCTTCAAATTGTTCTTCATCTCCATCTTCATCATTCAACAAAGAGGAGAAAAACAAATTTAAAGTGGAGAAAAATTATTATTATTAATTATAACAAAAGTTACAATTTTTGGAAGGCCTTCTCAATTAAGAGTAGCCCTCCTCTCCAAATAGAGTTATAAAATTTTTCACACCTCTAACCCCTCACTCTCTACCCCTATTTATAGTAAACATCAGTGAATGAGAGCCGTTGGATCGAAATCTTATCCAAAAACATCAAAAATCAGCCATAGATTCGTAACTAACTGTACGTCGTATCGATGCCAGCATCGATACGGGTATCGATGCTGGCATCGATACCCAAGGGTTTTGAGATTTATTCTTCATTAACCTGCAATTAAAGATAAAAATAATTATTAGTGGTATATTTATTCATATAAAATAGATAATGAGGGTATAAAACTGTAATAAAATGTGATTATCAGAGACCCTATTGTACTCATTTGGGGAAAGACCACAAATTAAGGCATTCATGGTCTTCGCATTGAGATTAGCTTGGAGTCTTTCTCCATCGGTCATGGTACTAATCTTGGACTTTTCTACATATTTCTTTTCTATGATATCCAAGATGTCAAGATCAATGCAACGAAGGTAAATCCTCATTCTAGCTTTCCAATAGGTTTTCTATGATATCCAAGATGTCAAGATCAATGCAACGAAGGTAAATCCTCATTCTAGCTTTCCAATAGGCAAAATTTCTACCGATGAAAAGTGGGGGTCTAGTGGTGGATTGTCCCTCAAGCATATGCATATTTAATGAAGCCTCCATTAGATCTTTCCTCTAAGGTGGTTAGACCAAAAATAACTATAGAGACCAAGCTCTGATACCAATTGTTGGACCATAGAGGAAGGGGGGTGATTAGGATCTTGAGGCAATAATAGTGCAATAAAAAATATGACAAGCAATACACTACAAAATGAAAAGCCAAAGTAAAAGAGATAAGGTAAGAAATCGTTATCTAAGTGATGCGCGATGTGTTCACGAGGTTCGGTCCACTGACCTACGTCCCCACTCCCCACTCTCGAGGAGAATCCACTACACAACCTGGTTTGGAAGCCGAAACTTCTTCTACACAACGATCTCCACGAGATCTCACAACCACACAATTGATATCCATAAGATTACACTCACAACAGTAGTAATCGTAAGAAAGATTTTCTCTTTACAGTAGCCCTATGGCAAGAAGAGAGATTGCACTTTAAGCTTGGGATGTGAAAATGAAACAGTGAATAATGGGATGAAAGTTAAAGCTCTTTGAAAACAATAAACTTGAAAACAAGAGTTTTACAATTAAAGCTTAGTTCTAAAGTAGTTGGGGTGTTAGGTATTTATGAGGAAAGAAAACTGCAGCCAAAGCCCCAAAGAATCAGACAAAATCCCCTAAAAATAGGATTTCTGAAACTGTACAAAAATAGTCGTTATAGTGTTATGAGTCGATTCAGTATTGTTCATGAGTCGACTCATAAGTAGCCGTTACAGGCTAAAAACCAACTTATGGGTCGACTCATAAAATTCATGAGTC